GCTGTGGCAGGGCATTCCTCCCTGTTCTCTCTCTCTTCTTTTGGGTACTGTGTTTTGCCAGAGAGGCATTGAGTGGCAGTCATGTTTGGTCTATAGACCACTTTTAGCATGTCTCTCCCACCCTGGGAGGGTCTTCACAACACCCTTTATTTGGTGCTCTCTTCTCTATCTGAGCTTCCTTCTCACCTAGCACATGTGGCTGGCCTTCAAGTCATGGAGCAAAATTCCTGGTACTAATCTGAGCCCTTCCTGGGTGTTAGTCTCCCGTTTTGTTGCTTTATGTTCCCCAGATGAATGCAATCTTTCTGTGTCTATCCCGCTCTTTCTGACTCATTTCGCTTAACATGATACTTTCCATGTAGTACCACTTGTATGTAAATTTCGTGACTTCCTCTTTTCTAACAGCTACATAGTACTCCATTGTGTAAATGTACCAAAGTTTCTTTAACCAGTCATCTGTTCTTGGGCATTCAGGTTTCTTCCAGTTTCTGGCTATTGTAAAGAGTGCTGCAATGAACAAACAAGTGCAGATGTCACTTCGACTATACATTTTTGCCTCTCTGGGATATATTCCCAGGAGTGGTATTGCTGGTCAAATGGGAGCTCAATTTCTAATTTTTTGAGAATCGTCCATACTGTTTTCCAGAAGGGCTGAACCAGTCGACATTCCCACCAACAGTGAAGGAGTGTCCCTTTCTCGCCACATCCACGCCAGCATCGGTTGCTTTTGTTCTTTTGGATGTGGGCCAGTCTCTGAGGTGTGAGATGATATCTCATTGTGGTTTTGATCTGCATCTCCCTGATAAATTAATGATATAGAACATTTTCTCATGTGCTTTTTTCCATTTGGATTTCTTCTTTGAGAAAGTTTCTGTTCATTTCATTGCCCCATTTTTTGATGGGGTTGGATCTTTTCTTCTTGTGGAGTTCAACCAGTATTTTGTATATCCTTGATATCAACCGCTAGTCGGATGTGTATTCGGCGAATATCCTTTCCCATTCTGTAGACTGTCTTTGTATTTTGGTCACTGTTTCTTTGGAGGTGCAGAAGCTTCTTAGTTTATGATAGTCCCATTTATCTATCACTGTTTTCACTTGCTCAGCCAGTGGCGTGGCATCTTTGAAGAAACCATTAACTTTTATGTCATGGAGGGTTTTGCCAACTTTGTCTTCAATGTACCTTATGGTTTCTGGTCTGATGTTGAGGTCTTTAATCCATTTCGATCTTACTTGTGTACATGGTGTTAGGCAGAGTTCTGAGCCCATTTTTTTGCATGTAGCCATCCACTGATGCCAGTACAATTTGTTAAAGAGGCTTTCCTTACTCCACTTCACATTACCTGCACCTTTATCAAAGATTAGATGATTATATGATTGAGGGGAGATGTCAGTGTATTCAACCCTGTTCCATTGGTCTGCAGTTCTGCCTTTGTTCCAGTACCATGCTGTTTTAATTATTACTGCTTTGTAGTACAGTTTGAAGTTAGAGAGGTTGATTCCTGCCATTTTCTTTTTCCCAAGAATTGCTTTAGCTATTCGTGGGGGCTTATTGTTCCATATAAATTTAAGGAGTGTTTGCTCCATTTCTTTGAAGAATGTCATGGGTATCCTTATAGAGTTTACATTGAATTTATACAATGCTTTCAGTTGTATTGCCATTTTGACAATGTTAAGTCTCCCGACCCATGAGCAGGGGATATCTTTCCATTTCCTCATGTCCTCTTTTATTTCCTGAAGTAGCGTTTTGTAGTTTTCTTTGTACAGGTCCTTTACATCCTTAGTTAAGATGATTCCTAGGTACTTGATTTTCTGGTGAACAATTGTGAATGGGATTGTTTTTTTCATGTAGATTTCTTCTCTCTCACTGTTTATGTATAGGAAAGCCATGGACTTTTGAGTATTGATTTTATAGCCTGCAACTTTACTATACAATTGTATTGTTTCTAGGAGTTTTTTTGGTGAAGGTTATTGGGTTCTCTAAGTATAGTATCATATCATTTGCGAATAGTGAGAGCTTGATTTCTTCCTTTCCTATTTGAATGTCCTTAATATATTTTTCTTGCCTAATCGTTATTGCAAGTACTTCCAGTGCTATATTGAACAGCAATGGAGATAGTGGGCATCCTTCTCTCGTCCCTGATCTTAGAGGGAAGGCTCTCAGTTTTTCCCCATTGAGGATGATGCTTGCTGTAGGCTTGTGGTAGATGGCTTTAACTATGTTGAGGAAAGTCCCCTTTATACCCATTTTGGCTAGGGTTTTCATCATAAAGGGGTGCTGGATCTTGTCAAATGCTTTCTCTGCATCTATTGAAATGATCATATGCTTTTTATCTTTTCTTTTGTTGATATGATGAATTATGTTGATTGATTTCTGAATGTTAAACCATCCTTGCATCCCTGGGATGAATCCTACTTGGACATGGTGTATGATCTTTTTGATGAGTAGTTGGATTCTATTTGCTAGTAGTTTGTTGAGGATCTTTGCATCTGTGTTCATCAGGGATATCGGTCTGTAATTCTCTTTCTTTGTGGTATCTCTGTCTGCTTATGGTATCAGTGTGATATTTCCTTCGTAGAAACTGTTCGAAAGTGTTTTTGATATTTCAATTTCATGGAAAACCTTAAAGAGGATTGGGAGTAAGTCCTCTTTAAAGATTTGGAAGAATTCACTAGTGAATCCATCCGGGCCAGGACTTTTGTGCTTGGGGAGACTTTTTATTACCATTTCAATTTCCTTGATGGTGATAGATCTGTTCAGGTATTCCAGGTCTTCTTGGTTCAGCCTTGGGAGTCTGTAGGAGTCTAGGAATTTATCCATTCCCTCGAGGTTTTGATGTTCCGTGGCATAAAGCTTCTCAAAGTACTCCCTGAGGATCCTTTGAATTTCTGTAGTTTCGGTTGTAGTGACCCCCTTTTCATTTCTGATTCGGTTTATTAGGGTTTTCTCTCTCCCTTTCTTTGTGAGTTTTGCTAGAGACTTATCGATCTTGTTAATTTTCTCGAAGAACCAGCTCTTGGTTTCATTGATCTCTCGGATTGTTTTTTGGGTTTTCATCTCGTTAATCTTTGCTCTGAGTTTTATTATTTCCTTTCTCCTGTTCGGGTTGTGCTCCTTTTTTTGGTCCTTCTCCAAGCTCTTAAGCTGTGAGGTTAGGTTACTTATGAGTTATTAGCTACTGTGTTTCTAGTGGTTGAGCTAACCTAGAGAAGGTTCCTCTTAGATGATTTCTAGCTTATGGTTCCTTCTAGCTTATGGTTTCTTTGGCATATGTAGTGGGAGAATATTTCATGGCCGCGTTAGTGGCCACGGCTCTGGAAAGGGTCCCTGGTGCTGGGCGCCGGGCGGTACCTGTTTGAATTAGGAGAGAGTACCCGTAGCCGTTCAGCTTTGTTGCTGAGAGACCCTGTTCTGTTTTTAATAGTTGTTTTATTCTGGAACTTTTCTTTTCTGGTTTTTGGACACACCTATCTGGTACTAGGGATAGAACTGGATGTGTGAGGCAAGACTCTTAGCCCGTATGCTATCTCTCTGGCTCAACCATATTGGAATTTAATATCAACTTTATTTAGAAATAATTGTGAGACAAAGTATTTTCCTCCTTTATAGTAGAGCTATCTAACGCTGGAATTGTATGTTAAATGTTTCATTGTGAATCCACCTGGTATTGGAGTTCTCTAGGAAAAATATTTTGTGACTATCTTTTTTTTTCATTTGCAATTTTATTTGAGAGAACATACACATTCAATATGGAGCCATAAGTGTTTCCATGGGACACTTGTACATAAAAACATCAGAAACCCATCTGTATCTGTAACAGTGATTGTCTCTGCCTTCCACATATGGAAGTTGACATATATAAGACCCCCGAACTCGAACCTATAACAAAAAACAATCCTTTCTTAAAAGCTGATTTTTGCAAAACTGGTACAAGTGGTTGTTTTAAACGACGTGTGACTCAAAACTCATCAGCACGAAGAGAGTGTCCTGAGTAGATGTCATTGTTTACTCAGGAGTCAATGGCATGATTTTTGAAAACACTGTGTGTTGTCCATTGTCGCACACCAAGTCAGAGTTTGGCATCGCCCAAGATGGCAGGGCTAGGGCTGGCTGATGAGCAATAGCAGAAGGCACGATCAATACTGAGAACATATAAAAAGAGCTGATTGACAAATGTCACATAGCGTTTCCGAAGGCATGTCACCCTTTAGGGGACTCTCCATATTCTGGGGGCTTTGAGTGCTCGTGCAAACATGGCAAAGTTAAACACATAAACAACAGTAACCTATCTTGCAACCTTTGGTAACAGTTGACTGGAAAAAGTCAACCAATTGTCCCTTGTGGGCAATCTGGGGTCCCTGCATTAAATTCCCTACCCAATGGAGTGAAGGGTGTGAACTACCATGGAACTATTAAACACTTTAGATTTTTAGTACATTAGGAGTGAAAGGCAATGCTTTGGCACAGGTCCCTTTAGAAGCTCAAGAAAAACGACCACTCACTTTTACAAAGATATCTCCAGAACGCACCCACACCTGTTGCATGGGAAAACCTAAGAACTGAGATGAAGAAATTGCACGTGAAGGCACCTGTATTTACTTGAAACCCTAACTTGAAGAACGGTTGTTGGTGGTTTCCATTCCTTCTCTTTTGTTTTGGCGATACTATCTTCATGTTTCAACTAGAGGTGGTTACATGTAGAAAACTGCTCGCTCCTAGAGGCAGCACCCGGGCATCTTGAGCGTTACTTATCTGATTGAGAACTGCTCTTGTCATCGTTTGGTAGATTTTGGCAAACTGATAAGGACCCTCTTTTATGATATTTTTTGATTTGGGCTGCACGATGTATGAGGGTCTCCGTGTCATTGGACATATCAATGACAGTACTACAGTACCACTCCTATTCTGGGGGGATTAAACTTTTTAATGAATCCATACTCTTGTTCGCTTCTAGTGATTTGCCTTTGATTGATCTGCTGGTGGTGGCTCTTTTGGACAATGTTCAGGGCCCCTTTGTCACTGCCCCTGCGCCTTTGCTGCTCATTGGTTGGGCAGACTTCGCACCACAATTGAAAAAAACTCTTGTTCCTGGACGCAGCTGAATAGATGTGGGGTCTAGGAAAATCATTTTGGTGGATTTCTTGGCATTCCGCAAACGTATTTGGGGTTTCAATGATGTCTCTTCACTGCTAAGTGAAGCTGGTGAATTTCTGTCATCTGACAGATCAATTTCACTGTCCGACTCCTGCTCGTCATCGGCTTCGTCTTCATCATCAGCGTCCTCAGCTTTGCTCAGAGATCCCGCAGCCTTTGATAGGATAGAGTCTGTCCTTCTTGCCTGCTTCATTATCTCCTCAATCCTCTTCTTTCTTTCTAATCTTTCCTTCAAATTTTGTAACATAATTCTTTCGTGTTCCTTCTTACATTTGTCCGCCTCTTCCTGAGCTTTAGTTTTGGTGTCCCCTTTCTTTTGATCATCCAGCTCTGAGCTTCCTTCCTGCGGCTTTAGCAAGGTTTTGCTTCTGTGGAGCACAGTCGCTCTTCTGCAGGTCAGCATCATCGGATGTTTGCGGTTGAAAAGGTACATCCTATCTGGGAACCTCCAGGTCTTTCTCTTTCCTTGAGTTTGATGGTAATAAATTCAGAACTGGGGCTTATGGTAATAAATTCAGAACTGGGGCCAGAGCCAAGCTTTGGGTATGATCTTCTACCGCATCCTTTAGCAATTCTTTCTCCTTCTGTTCGCAAATAAGGCGGTGTTTCTCGGAGAGTATTTTCATAGCCTCTTCCTTATTAACGACACCTGGGGTGATTTTATTACCCAGGTCAAGGTCTTGGGACATGGGCTTTGGTTTACGAGTCACTCCTCTCATCCTCTCACGTCTATTTATGGTATTTGGCACATAAAGTATCTGCTGTACAGGTGTTATTTTGTAAGTCAAAGAATACTGCGCAGGTGACTTTGATATCACAGGCGAGGGAGGACACTTCGGCTTGCTGATACGAGAACTGCCTACAGTGAGGGACGGTGATACATAGCATGGGTTGTTCGATGTTAGAAGCTTTTTGTTGAGATGACCGGAGCTCATTTCTGTTTTCTGTCGAGCGTTCTTCATATCAGAAGACGGCCCGGGATTTCATCAGTAGCTGATTCACTTAGCAGGTTCATTTGATCCGCATACTGCGCACAGGGCAATTCCATAGGATGTTCTGGAAGGACCTCCACCTTCACATCCAATGGGATTTCTATCAGACTGGCCTCCGGTAATACCTCCACACTTACATCAGGAGAGGAGGTACCTAGACTCACCTCTCCTGATGAGTCAATGCTCACCTCTGGTGACGGATTCACACTGAGTGCCTCAGAGGATTCTGTACTTACTTCAGGCGAGGGGTTTAGGCTATCACCTGGCGATGACTCCAAACTGACCCCAACACAGGCTGCCAAGTTGGTCTCACACACTGCCTTATCAGCCGATGATGTCAGCTGGCCATCCGGGTTGAAGCGTTCTCCTAGTCGATCGCAGGAAGCGATGCGCGACTCATCTTTGATGTTACTACCTTTACTTCCTGACTCAGGGATGCTACTTCCATATGCAGAGATGCAGGGACCTTGAAGGTAGGAGGAAGGCGACCTTTGGCAGGTTCTTGTCCTCGGGATTTGTGGGGAGCTTTTCTGCTATTTTTATTATGGAGTACTTTGCTAATTGGTGTTTGGTCACTTAGCTCGGATGTTCTGGACTCACAGACTGTAGCTCATGACTACTTCGACTACGATTAGACAGTGTCATACATGGAACTAAGGCATGAGTGCCAGGTAGTCTTCCAGCAGGTTGATTTTTATCAGAATGCAGTTGAGCATTGGTGTATTTTCTATTTAATGATGAACTCCTCTTACCCATCTTTCCATCTTTGATGTCAGCAGTGGGTTTCCTTTCAGCTACAGGGCCTTCCCAAGACCATCTTTCCTTGGAGTCCATGAGGCTGTTACTGCGTTCAACAATGCGAGAGAGGACAGCTTTGTAGCGCTCTTGATCTTCTTCGAGCTTCTGCTTCCTCTTCTCAACAGATATCCTTCTTTGTCCATCTTTCTCTTTCTGCTCTTTCAGTTTTCGTTGTTTCTCCTCCACTTGCTTTTCATGGTAGATTTTTGCCTTTCTCTCCTTCTCCAGTGTCTGCATTTCTTTATTAGTGTCATCTTGTCTTCTTTTCTCTTCTCTACGCTCTTTTGCAAGTCTCTGTTTTTCATCCTTTTTGAGGACAGATCCATCTAATATTGGTTTAAATGTTGACTTCATACTGGTAGTGATGGTGGTGTTGGCCTGATGTTGAAGGCCACTTTGACTTCGTCGCTCTGCTGCAATGACCTGAGATGCAGCAACCATCCACTTGCGCATCCCTTGCAGGGATGTGCCCCCACTGGCGCTGTCTGCCATCTTTCCAAGGTGCCGAGGCACTAGCCGTTGCGAGCTCTGGGGCACCAGTGCACAGGCCGACTATTTTTGTCTTCTATTTTTCTTCACTCTGAAGAGGGCTTCATTGGCAAGTGTTAGGACTGCATCAGAAGTGTGACTTAAATACCGGTGCAGCCAACTTCCTCACAGGTACGTCTGGGTGTCAGGGGGCGTGCCTTCAGGGTCTGCTGCAGTTATTTTTTTCCTTCGCAGCACTCTGGGCTCACATCTCTATCTTCATTACCTTATTTTGAGAACATCCTGACTATCTCAATCACATTAGGCCAATAGTCCAGTAGCCTATTCCAATCTCACCAAAATAACGGTGAACACAAGAAACTAAACAAGCTTAATATAAAAGAACACACCCCTTGAAGCTTCAGTAGAGGCCTCTCAGAAGTTACAGAGGAGCTTCAAAGAGGAAGGTAGTGTTCTAGAAGGGGAAAAAGGTAACCACCATCGACCGAGATCATCCAGAATCCTTTATCTCAGAGAGAGGGATACACTGATAGTGAACAGGAGGGTCCCACCTCCATAATACCATAACAACATGAAGGAAGAGTGTAAATCCCCACCATGAGGAGTGGATAAAGAGGAGTCCAGAAGCCTCTATAGGGATGACCCACAAATTTGAATTCTCTGACAAAGAACTCAGAGATAAAATGTTGAGAATGATCAATGAACTCAAAGAAATGGTGGAACAGATATCCTGTACATTTAAGGAGGACATGAAAGAAACAGTGGAATGGACAGCCAAGAAAATACAGGAAGAAATGAGAGCAGAAATAAGAAAGCTATAAACAGAAGTGCTACTAGTAAAGAATTTGGTAGATGAAATAAAAAACTCAGTGGGTGCCCTCAACAGTAGTTATTTTTCTTCACTCTGATTACGGAGATGCTTTTCTTTAAGAGGGGACCTTGCAGTGCTGAGGAGACCTTGCAGTGCTCAGGGGACCTGGATGTAATTCCTGGCAACACTTGGCCAACCATTGGCCCAATGACACAGAGCTACTCAGGCACTAAGGCCGCATCCAGCAATGCATAGGGTTCTCCAGGGTATAGCAGATAATTCTGTGGAGGATATGTGGTGCCGTGGTTTAAACTCTGATTCCAGAACCTGAGTTTAGCATGCACTCTTCACTACTGAGCTTTTTCCCTGACCCTGAAGAAGATACTATGTTATAGAGCTTTATATATGTTAAATATTTTTTAAAAAATTTATTAGTGAAACACCATGAGGTACAGTTGTAGACTTACAAATTTTTGTGCTTGGGTTTCAATTATCACGGTATCACGGTCCTCCTGTTGTTCATCGATTTGCTCGAGCAGGCCCAGTAACGTCTCTATCATGAGTCTTGTTGTCACTGTGTTTGACATATCAAATACATCACGGGGAGCTTGCCAGGCTCTGCCGTGAGGGCGGGATACTCTCGGTAGCATGCCGGGCTCTCCGAGAGGGGTGGAGGAATCGAACTCGTGTTGGCCATGTTGGCTGCGTGCAAGGCAAACGCCCTACCCGCTGTGCTATCGCTCCAGCCCATTGGGTTTCAATTATACAATGATCAAAGGCCCATCCCTCCACCAGTGCCCATTTTCCACTACCACGGGTCCCACTATAACTCCGACCTCCCATCCATCCCTCCCACACTGCCTCTGTGGCAGGGCATTCCCTTTTGTTTTCTCTCTCTCCTTTTGGGTGTTGTGGTTTGCAAAAGAGGCATTGAGTGGCAATCATGTTTGGTCTGTAGTCTACTTTCAGCATGCTTCTCTCATCCTGGGAGGATCCTCCCAACACCTTTTATTTGGTGCTTCCCTCTCTATCTGAGCTCCCCTTTCCCCTAGTATGTGTGGCTGGCCTCCAAGCCATGGAGAAAACCTCCTGGTACTAATCTCGGCCACTCTTGGGTGTTAGTCTTCTATTTTGTTTCTTTATGTTCCCCAGATGAATGCAATCTTTCTATGTCTATCCCTCTCTTTCTGACTCATTTCGCTTAGCATGATACTTTCCATGTAGTACCACTTGTATGTAAATTTCATGACTTCATCTTTTCTAAGAGCTACATAGTATTCCATTGTGTAGATGTACCAAATTTTTCTTTAACCAGTCATCTGTTCTTGGGCACTCAGGTTTTATGTTAAATAATTTTTAACATGGTTGGCCATAATATCTTGTTATCATCTTAATGCCTATAGTGTTTTTTGTGCTACTGCCATTTCCAATGGTAGTAGTAAAAATAACAGCCTTTCTTGTTTTTTATTTTTGCAGAGCCAGGGACCAAACTCAGGGCCTCACACATAGATGGTAGGCATTATAACACTGAGCCACATTTATGTCCCCTGAAAATTTTCCTTTTGAGAGAGTTCCCAATTTTATTAGACTTTCTACAATTAAATAACTTTAACTGTGTTATTTTATTCTATTTTTATTTTGTATATATTTTAAAATTTTGTATCTCATCTTTATTCTACTTTATCGGGCTGGAGCGATAGCACAGCGGGTAGGGCGTTTGCCTTGCACGCAGCCAACATGACCGACCCGAGTTCGATTCCTCTGCCCCTCGCGGAGAGCCTGGCAAGCTACCGAGAGTATCTCGCCCACACGGCAAGGCCTTGCAAGCTACCCATGACGTATTCGATATGCCAAACACAGTAATAACAAGTCTCACGATGGAGATGTTACTGGGCCCTTACTTATAACTGTAAATAAGGCTTTAGTTTCATATCTACTGTGACATATAGTGTTTTCATTACTCTATAAAATGTGAAGGGTATTTCCTTTACATTTCTTTTCAGCACTAATTGCTTCTACATCTTTTTGTTTTTGGCTTATGGGCCACACCCGGAAGTGTTTAGGGTTTACTCCTGGCTCTGCGCTGAGGGATCACTCCTGGTGGGCTTGGGGGACCATATAGGTGGGGTGCTGGGAATTAAATCTGGGCCGGTCTTGTGAAAGGCAAGATCCCTATTCGCTGTACTATCACTCTGGCCCCACTTCTAAAATCATTTAAAATTGAATCTTAGAAAAAATTGCATATAATATTGATTTATAACACTTTTTAGAACTCCAGGTTTGCAGCTCAAGAAGTGCTTGTAAAACACCATATCCACAACCAAATCTCCATTCACCGTTCAGTCAGCTTCCTCTACCTATTATAGTCACTCCTCCTCTCTATTCATCAATGGTAGCAACAATTCCTATTGTCAGAATCTCAGTGTTTATTTTCATTGTGTTTATTTCCTCATTTCCATAATGAGTTAAATTATATGATATTTGCATTATTCTGTTGTATAACAATGAAGGGACAATGAGGGGAATATTTTAGCAAGCAGAAATAAATATAGTCACTTAAAAATAATTCACCTGGAAGAACGAATTTTATTCACAAAATAGCATGAAGTCAAAATGTATGAAAAATCTGGCACTACCACAAGATATCAGTAACAGAAGAAAACAAATCAGTAATGTTGTGCACATTATTCCTGATCTATATTCCTGATGGAATTTATAGAACCTGAACATAATACACACTCTTTGTACAATTACTCAATTAGTATTTTATGTACTATATATCTAATATATAGTGTATCTCTCAGTTCTTTGAAATTTGTTGAGATATATTTTCTGACCAAGCATATAATATATAATTAAAATTTTAATTTAAATGGACTTGGAAATAAAGAACTTGTATTAAATTATTGAATGTGGGTTATGTACTCAAGTGAAGCTCCACACCATCGATATAAAATTCCAAATCCCACTAACTTAAATGTTAGAAAATCTAACTTCAAAGAGTTTGGACATGTCAGGAGTTTAGAGGGACACTGATATCGCAGAAGCAAGGGAAAACAAAGACCTTATATTTTGGGCACTAACCCACACTCTTAATACCCCAACCTTGAACACAAGGCTGTGAGAATTCACCCATAACTTGAATGTACACCTCAAAATATCATACTGATGACATATTTAGAGAGGTAATAAAATTCATCCAGAAGGAGAATTTCCAGATTCCCTGGAAAAAGTTAGAGATCTTACAATGAGAACACAATCCTTATAACTCATTTAAAGATTTAAACACTGATGCTAAAATACTTATGATTGTTTTACTTTAAATTCTAGGATTAATTGGATTCAAACCTTGCAACATAGACCATCAGTGATTTCAGAGATCTAAACTAAAGAAAGATATAGGAACATATTAAACAAAAAAGTTTTGTCAGACACTAAAAGAATTCAAACCATCACACTACAAACACAGAATGTCAAATGTCTCAGACTCTGTCCTCTGAAAAATTACCTTTAGGAAGCAGTCTTGTTTTACAAATGTCACAAGTCTCATTGCCACCATGGTAATGAGCCTGCTGTGATGGAAGCATAACCAGTGAGTCAATGTGGCCATATTCACATTATCTGGATGTTGGGAGTAGTCAGGCTCACATTCATGTAGAATGAGGCTGAGAAAGCAACCTTGGGGCCGAGAGATATAGTACAACAATTATGGTACATACCTAGCATTTGTCTGACTTAGATTTGATTCCAGGCACCCTGAGAATTGCTGGGTACTTCCTCGGAGGTCCCATTAACACACTGCCAGGGTAGCCTGGGTAATCTTCAGCATAGCAGGTCCTGAGCAGAACTGTATCCTCAAGCCCTTGCTTTGAATTACCAGCCCATTTGGCGGAGAGTCATCTGGAAGAGACCACCCGACCACTCGAGTAACACTTGGGAGGTTCTCCAAATACAAATAATTAAGAGCCACTTAATGGCCTGAACAAAGACCCACAAGTAATTTATACTTAAACGTTGGAGCAAGTTTATTTAGTAAGAGTTCTCTTACTCTGAGACACACAAACGAATCTTAGACCAGAGCAACTTGCTGCACAGATGGCCCTGGACTTTGCAGTAGGCCATTTCTGCTGTGCTGCTCCAGACAGGGGCAGGTGCCGTCGCTCCGCCTGCCCTCTAGGAGCCCCAGCAACTGCCATTTTCTAAAAGTCAGCGGCAAGCTCCAGGTAACAGTGACAGTGGCGGCAAAGGCCAACCCTCACAGGACAGGGGAGGAGTGGGCGCTTCTTCCCCCCTGCCCCAATGGGACTCCAAGATGATGCCACATCTGGCCACCATCTACTTAAGCTCCCACACGGCCACAATCCAGAAACACAAACAAATCTCGGACCTGAGAAACTTGCTGCAGCGATCTCTTCTGACTACAATTATTAAAATTTTATAATTCCTAGAGTGCGTGGCCACTCTTGTGGCCATGAAACATTATATTGTATCCATAACAATCAATACAAAACACATTGTCTAGCATTGCATTTTCGGCAGGTGTGAGTGATGGTGGGACTGGTCTTGAAATATCGAAGTTAACTAGAGAAAGAGAGTATTGTGCAAATTATCTGCCACACAGGCAGGGGGAGGTGTGAAATGGAGCGGTGGAATACTGGGGATTTTGGTGGTGGAAAACGTGCATTAGTGAAGAGATGGGTGTTTGATGATTGTATGATTGAAACTCAAACATGAAAGTTTTGTTACTGTACCTCACGGTGAATCAATAATAATAAAAAAAAGAGTTCTCTTACCTTTGTTCAGAAACCACCAGAATAATTGAATCTAAAATTGGAGCACAGACCCTCAAATATTTCAGAGATTTTACATACTGAACATAAATGCCCCAAATTGCACACAGATGTGTGCATACCCTCCAAAGTTGAGAAACAACAGTGATTCAATAACATATAAAATATACAAACAAGCAAATCTCAAGCAGAAAATAAACCCAGAGGTCAGACACCTCTAACTTGGAATAGAGTTTCTGAATATCTTAGGCTTCAGCCTCGGAGCACACCCATGAATAGTTTCTTGTGTTATCACACTGTAAAATAAACCTTCAAATAGTGGTGATTCACTATTTCGAATCCAGATCCTCCACGAGTTATCTGCTCACAACCTTTCAGACACCTGAGACTCAGACATTGGGTCACAGATGTCCAGTCAGTTCAGAGAAATTGCTTCTTTCAAAGACTAAACATTAAAAACATTAAACATTAAACATTAGAATGACGTTTGGAGAGATAGATTAATTTGCTGAGTGTATTCCTTTTGAGATCCTCAGGTTCAATTTCAGGCATCAGATGGTTCCCCAAGCCCTGTTTGGAGCAGTCTCCAAGCATTGCCATGTATGCCGCTCCACCCCCTTGGGAAAAACCCTGAAAAGTTTGAGTTCTTACACAAGAAAAAATTTTTAAAAACTTCAACTCTTGGAATATAGGCCCTCTAAGGTTTTACAGAACTAACACTAAACATACACATGCAAATAAATTATTATCATAGGACCTAAACTTCATAGAGTTGAAAGATTTTACATTGGAGCTAAATGAATGGGAAAAAATCTTTTCATTCAACACATTAGGTATAGGTTTGATATACATGGCATATTAAGTACTCACAAAGATCAACAAAAATTTTAAAAACGCTATCAACAAATGGGAGACGAAATGAATAGATACTTCTTAGAGGAAGTCAGGCAGATGGCCAGTAGGCACATGAAAAATGCTGAGTATCGCTTATTGTCAGAGAAATCTAAATCAAGATGGTAATGAGATACCATTTCGCACAAATGAAAATGGAACACACATAAAAACCATCTCACACCAGTGAGAATGGCACATGTCAAGAATAGTAGGGAAAAAAAGAATAGTAGGAACAATCTGTGTTGGTAAGGATTTGGTGAAAAAGGTACTCTAATTCTGGATGAGGAAATGTATTGTAGTAAAGGAAGAATGCTTAGATCACCCTTGACCCCACTGTTTAGAAAGGGCAGGGAAGGAAAGAAATCAATGGAGAAGAAGAGAATGGGCAGTAATGGGTGAAACAGGCATCAAGGTTTCAGTTATACTGGTGATATGGGTTAGTGGTGTATCCCATCCAAAACACAGATTCAACAAAACTGAAAACATGAGATTTAAGTTTCAACCACTGGAACTTTATAATGTACCTGTCAAATTTACAGACAGGGTGTGGGGTGGATTCTGGAGGTGGGGATAGAATATGGGAAAACTGGTGAATGGAAGTTGACACTGGTGGTGGGATTAGTATTGAAATATAATATGACTTAAACTCAACAATGAACTCAACTTTGTAAATGACGGTTCTTTAAATAAAATTTTTATTAAAAATAGAAAGAAAACAAAATCTCAGTGTTACTCTCCACCAGGTCTCCCTGTATGATCTCTTGGCTGATTTATCTTGCTGGCTTCTTCTCAGAAACATTAGCACTCTTAATGATTACTGAGGAGAACAGGAACTTTTGTTTGTGTGGGTTATACCTATTAATATTTAACATATTAACAATCAAAATGGAAGACCTTTAAAATATTTAATATACACTTTATACGTTGACACATTAAAACTAGATTTTACATTGGAAGCAGTATACAGCGCTTGGGCTCTATTTTATAAATAAAAAGATCTTAAAGAATCAGATAGCTCATACTGTCAACTCACACTACCAAGCATCTAAGATTATCATAAACACCCTAGGCACACTTCAACAAAACACACTAGGCACCCAGAAATCCTACAACCTGACTATAGATCCTGAACTTCAGATTCAAAATCTTTACTAAAGAGTTTCAAGGATTTCAAAGCCTCCATATGGTAAACACATATATTCAGATATTTTAATTAATGATTTAGAACACAGACTGTCAGTGAGTTCAGAAACAATCACTCTAAACAGTTTCATATACTTTAGACCTAAACTCAGTGCATGGGCCCTACAAATATCTCTGAACTCACACCAAAGAACACAGATGCGAACTTCAGACAAACTCTTCAAAGGGTTCAAAGACAGCTTGAGCACTCTCCAATACCTCAAATTTGAAATTTGAAGAACAGGCCTGGGTGATAGTATAGAAGGTAGGGCACTTGCCTTGCACACGGTCAACCCAGGTTCTTCTCCTGGTATCCCATATAGTTCCCTGAGCACTGCCATGAGTAATTCCTGAGTCCACACCTAGGAGTACTTAAGGGTCTCCAGTGATATATTCTTTTTAAAAATTTTTATTAATGAAACACCATGAGGTAGTTGTAGACTTACAAATTTTTGTGCTTGGGTTTCAGTTATACAATGATCAAATATCCATCCCTTCACCAGTTCCCATTCTCCACCACCTGTGATCCCAGTATCTCTCCCACCCCCCATCCCCCACATCCCATCCTGCCTCTGTGGCAGGGCATTTCCTTTTGTTTTCTCTCTCCTTTTGGGTGCTGTGGTTTTCAATAGAGGCATTGAGTGGCAATCAGCCAAGAACAGAGGACTGGTTAAAGAAACTTTGGTACATCCAGTGCTATATTCTTTTGTGCTTAGGGGAACCAAGTGGTGCTGAAAACAAACCTGAGTTGGTCACATGTAAAGCAAAATCTTTAAGTCTATTCTATCTCTCTGGCTCCAGAGATTTCCTTTTTTTTGTGTGTGAGTGGGCACACCAAGAAATTTTCAGGGTTTACTCCTGGTTTTGTGCTCAAGGATCATTTCTGGCAGGGTTCTGGGACCAATATGTCGCTACCAGGATCAAATCCAAGTTTGTCGCATGCAAGGCAAGCAACCTAACTGATGTACTATTGCTATGGCTCCCAGAGATCCATTTTTTGAGGAATGGAAAATTTGAACACTGATTCTCATTAACAGCATGGTTCTCTATTGGGACAAAATCTGCACATGATTTGGATTGAGCTCGAAGTTCTTTGAGGATATAATCTTGGGTACAGCCTCCGACTACCTCTATATTTTTTCTGATAACCTAAGAATTAGGGGCATCTGGTCATGTAAGGTCCAGCCCAATTTAATGGAGGACTCAAGATTGGTCTACATGGCCTTTATCCTCACTACCCCCTGCTTCTCCTCTGGCTGCCATTACTGAGAGTGGAGAAGGAGAGAGAATATGCCCTGGAGGTTGTGAGGAATTAGTATGTGGTTTTCAATAGAGGCATTGAGTGGCAATCAGCCAAGAACAGAGGACTGGACTTGGAATATAGGCCCTCTAAGGTTTTACAGAACTAACACTAAACATACACATGCAAATAAATTATTATCATAGGACCTAAACTTCATAGAGTTGAAAGATTTTACATTGGAGCTAAATGAATGGGAAAAAATCTTTTCATTCAACACATTAGGTATAGGTTTGATATACATGGCATATTAAGTACTCACAAAGATCAACAAAAATTTTAAAAACGCTATCAACAAATGGGAGACGAAATGAATAGATACTTCTTAGAGGAAGTCAGGCAGATGGCCAGTAGGCACATGAAAAATGCTGAGTATCGCTTATTGTCAGAGAAATCTAAATCAAGATGGTAATGAGATACCATCTCGCACAAATGAAAATGGAACACACATAAAAACCATCTCACACCAGTGAGAATGGCACATGTCAAGAATAGTAGGGA